ACTACTGCCCATGAATGGCAAGAATTAATCCCTCAGTCATTTTTCTAGTAACAAAAAGGGTAAATCAAAAAGCATTAATTCCATGAAAAAACCCTACGATAGTGCTTAGGAGAAGCTGAATACAATAAAGGGAAAGACACCGGTAAAATGATAATTATTCTTCGTTTGATTCTGACAATCGAATCAATCTTCTCATTCACTTCACGTGAATTGCTGCAGAAGCTGCCTCTCGAAATCAATAATTAGCTTCTAGACTGAACCACCTTTGCAATTATCATAAACTGGCCACCAACGGAACTTAGATGCTGAAGCTGATGAAAAATTTAAATACTGAAATTTGTATTCGACAACGTGTTACTTCGTCATTGCACTTCCAAGCATCAAAACGACTGTATAACTGTAGCAAATGATATTTTCTTTGAAAGAACAAGGATTCATCAGCACTGGGGGCCACGCTTTCTCTGGCACCGACTAAAACTAGCTGAAATTTCGCTAGAAATATGAACATAATTTACGAAATAAAATTCGCCGTTTCTGATCTCAAGCACTAATGAGAAAGGGCAAGGGTTGGAGACCGCAGCGAAGTCTCCGTAAAATTATCCACCTGTCCTCGTGGTATTGCGCCATCGAAAAATATACCGGCTCGGTAGTCGAGCGGGTAATCAAGGGCCGCAATGGCTGTTGGGGGACTGAGACAGATAGCGAAAAGTCGATGGTCAGAACCTGCTCATCACCCTCTGCCAGCCCTTATATTGCCAGCGTAGCAGCACAACAACGGCTGACGAAGATCGACGGAACGACCACCGAGACACCAGTCAGCAACGCAGCCGCTACCCGTTCTGAAAGGAGGAGGCAGACAGAGCAATTCCATTAGAGCACGTCAGAAAACTCCCCACGAGGACGACACCGCCAGTGGGAGCATACAGTCGGAAACTCGAACATGTCCACATCTAGAGGGAAAGACAAAGGGTTAGTTGATAAGGTCAGAATATACCAATTCGACATCGTAGGAGTCTCATCAACAAAGCGCCAAATCTCTGGAATCCTGAACTTCTGCGGGTGGAAGCTATTCTACTCAGGTATCGATATCACGACTCGCGCTCAGTCCGGTGCTGGTGTACCCAACCTAACACATAGAATCACTGACTGGAAGCTTGTCAGCGGAAGAATGGCATTCTTAAGACTCAAGCTAGAACAGGCTAAAGGGTTGACCTTGTTACAGGTCTATGCACACAGCGTAGAGGCAAAATTTGAATCCTTCATTGACGCAGTGCAGTGTGCTCTATACGGAGTCCCTCATACCCATGGGCGATTTTAAAGCGCATGTCGGAGTATACTCTAAAAACTGGAACGGCGTGATTGGGAAAAA